CCAGCCAGTTTGGATGTAATCTTGCACGTGTGGTTACTTGTGAAAATAATTCAGACTTTCAGGGAAGAAATGAGCTCCAGAAGGAAAAGTTTTACAGTTTCTGATCAACTGAAAACAACTATAAAAACAAAAACAATTTAACTCTTTGATCACAGATACAAAAAAGATGCACATTTTTCTGATGCTGTCCTCTGTACATGTTTTTAATAAATTCCCCCCCATCAATCAAAAGCTGGATTGAATTCCCTCTGAACATGTGTTGTGCCCTAATCCACTCTCACCCGGCTCCTTCCCTTCATTCCTGAAGTCTGAGACAAGCAGCAGAACGTTTGGCCTCATTGGATCACCTGTCAGACTGTTTTCTCCCAACATCAGCTGTTTGTCTTGTTTGTCTCCCTGTCAGGAGGATGTTTCCGGCTATGAGAGTCAAAATTGCCGGCCTGGACCCCCATCAGCAGTATTACATCGCCATGGATATCGTCCCTGTGGACAACAAGAGATACAGGTACGTTCCTGGTTAGGAGCCTTTTTTAGGCCTTTATTTAGCTGCTCCTGCAGCCAAACCTTTTCTGTATTGTTTCTTGTGCGTTACAAAAGGTCAAAAAACATGTCCAAGAACTTTAGTCTGAAAACAGCAGCGTCAGCCTTCAGAGCTTCAGTAAAAGTTTTATTAAAGGCACAGCTCGACACAGGCCCAGCTCTGTGTGCAGAGAGCTGCGCCCCCCGCTGCTGCAAGAACTGGACACAAATCTGCATTTTCCTGGACCGCTTTCAAACATCAGTCTCTGCATAAATATTCTGCTCTCGTTAGGTTTGTCTCATCTGCACAACATTTATCATGTTAGACTCATTCAGGACAGGATTTGGATCAAACAAGGACACTGCAGTGGGATTTTTTTCTGTCTTTTTTTATACTTTTCATCCTCTAACTGCACTACAGACGAATCAGTCACTTGTCGTCGATGAAGTGAAGTAAAAGTGATTAAAGCGTGCACGTGTTGGAGAGCGTCTCAGATGTGATGGATTTCTCTGGATAAGCTATAAGACTGATGTTCTGGCTCGTAGTTCTGGTCCCTGAAGTCTGAGCCAGAGCAGAGAGATTGAATCTTATTCATCATCCCGCTGAAAACTGCAGCAGAGCCAGGAGCTGCCTTCAAGAAGGATAACCTTCAACGTTCATGTCTGAAAGTAGATTTAGGACAAAAAAGAAGAAGTTTGGAATGGAAAGAAGCTGTGTGTTTACCTGCTGCTGGGAAGGGTTTACTGCTTTGTTTTTGTCATTTATTAGAAATGAAGATGCCAGCTGATTGAAAGACCGTGTCTGGGTTTGTTGTTGATAGGGCAAGATACGGCTCGAGGGCCAGAGGTGGCTTTTAGGCTCTTTTAACTCGGTCCTACTTATAAATGAATAACAGTTTTAGCAACGGCTCTCAAGGAAAGTTAAAACAAAGTACTTCTCTTAACATTTTATGAATAAAGAAAGATGTTTAATTAAATTAGGCCTCAACATTCTTTTGCCAAATTTTCAGGGTCAAAGGTCAGACTGACAATTATAGTGTGTATAGATGCGTCAAATTAAAAGGATAATATTAAGGCAAGAATTAACTTCCAGATTAACCCCGAATTTACACTACACACGTCTCTGCTCTGCTCCGCTCCACTCCGCTCCGCTGCGCTGCGCTGCGCAGGTTGCAGCTGTTCGTTTGTGTCTCAATTTATACAGCGTCCGCTTCAATCCGATCCGACAAGTGTACAGGATGGAAATTGTGCGATAAATTCAGTGATAAATGTGGAAGTCACAGCAAAAAGTAATTAATGCTGTGAAAGACGAACTCCAAACACAGCTGAAAATAACAATRTAAAGGCTTTTGGTATCTATGTTAAAACTGTCTCGCTGTCGGCTTTCTGAATCATCTGATTTCAAAATAAAATCCACGTGTAACGTGTGTGTACACATATGCTTCATGCTACATGTTTCCATCTGCTTCCCAAACAGAACGATACATTCTGACAGCCTTTGTGTAGAAATATATCCGAATATTTATTAATATAGCTGCAACTGTGACATTAATCTGACAAATAATCCTGCCTAAAAGTGTCTTATTTTAAAAATACGGATGTTATGCTCATTTCTTTTCCTGTTGGTGCGAMGTAATCTTTAAAAATTGACTCTGACGCAGGTCTGGCGACCATCAAATATAGGATTTGATCTAATTTTGACGGATCGCGGTCCGCTCACCGCCGCCCTGTGCAGCCATGTGCAGCCAGTGTAAACACTCTCATTGATTATAATGGGTGTGTATTTGCTGCGGAGGTCGGACCGGAGCGGAGACGGAACGCATGTGGTGTAAATTAGGGGTAACTGTCACAAGTGCTAATTCACAGGCATTATTCTGACCAATCATGGACACAATAAAAAGAAGGAAAAATGAAAAAAAAAATTAGAGAAATTTTTTTGTCATGTTTTATGAAGGATTTGAGCACAAATATGCAGATTAAAGCTTTTAATGAAAAGAAAAACAAACGCTACTTTGTCAGCAATAAGACACAACCAAACTCAAGGAGACACAAGGGAGACTTGGACAGGGCACAAAGCCCACAATGACAAACTGCAGGTGAATGAAGATGAGCAGTGAGGACACCTGGGAACAGGTGTGAGGGGGAGGGGCAGGACTGAGGAGCAGAGGCCCAAACAGACGGAGAAGAACAGGGAGGCCCAGACAACCAAGACAGAACATACACATAAAAACAAAAACCTCAAAAACAAAAACAGCCGTGACAATTACAAGTCTTAAATTCAACCACGTCTTTTCATGCTGAAGCTTTAAATAAAGATCGTGCTTCTGTGTTTAAAAATATCTGACCGTTTTTGGTCAAATCTTAAAAAGAATATGCACGATCGCATGCAATCTGTTAGCAGTGATGGGGATGAATCTCACCAAATCTGAGCTCATTATTTAAAATAATTCACTGAATAAAAAACATTTTAGAAYGGTGGATCAGCTGCACTGGACTTTTTGAATTGGGTTGAATTCAAAAGTTAAATATTTGTACATCCAGGTGAAAATTTCACGAAAACTTGTGCTCTGGTTCATGTGATACTTTGCTAATAAATAAACAAAGAACTACAGACGTAATTTACCTGCTGCCATGGAAATGTAGATATAAAAAAAATTGAAAGTGTCTTTTAACCTTTCTTGTTTAAAGAATGCTCTATGAAGTATTAGGTGAAAGAAATGCAACAAGTGTCAGGTTTGTTCTGTAAGAATGAATCTTTACTATTTGACTGTTTACAGATGATGGTAGGTCCAGATGCAGGCCCCATGCTTTGTCCATGTTTCAGTTCATTCTAACACACTGACTGAATCAAAATGGCCTTCTGGAATAAAAAAATACCAATTTTATTTATTTATTTATTTTATTTATAAAAACTGAACAGATTRTTCTCATTGTTCTCACTATAGATTGTTCAACATCAAGTTTTAGGGTCTTGAGATGATTTCCAG